GAACCGGACCAGCAGTGGCTGAATCAGGACCAGAGCAGCTGGGGTGCTGCTGGGTTGGACCAGTAGCGCGCAGAGCGGCGCTGCGGGACCAACCGGCAGCACCCCAGCTGCTCTGCCACAGGCGTCCGGAGAAAAGCCTAGTCTGCTGGGGGAAGGGGGGCGTACTAGCTGCCCCCCCTCCACCCCAGCAGACCAGGAAGACGCGGGTGGCGGACCGAGACGCACCACGGTCCCGCTGCCTGGGTCCTCCGCGGCTTTGCTCCCAGTCTCCCTGGTCTGCTGGAGACTAGCAGACCAGGGAGATGGGGAGCAAAGCCTCTGAGGACGCCAGCAGCGGGACAGCCGCGGGGCGTCTGGGCTGTCCCGCTGCCCGAGCCCCTCCGCGGCTTTGCTCCGCGTCTTCCTGGTCTGCAGACCAGGGAGACGCGGAAAAAGCCCCGGAGGACACGGGCGGCAGGACCGCGAGGTCCCGCAGTCCGTGTCCTCCGGGGTGAGCCCCGTTCGTAACTGCGGATCCGACATAAGTCGGATCCGCGTAAGTCGGGGACTGCCTGTATACATGGGGATTTTTAGCCTAATCCTCAGAACAATATTCAGACTGTGATCCTGTGACTGCATTGGGACATGGGCTCAAAACTTCTGTGACCTACCTGGGAGGCCTGCCTATTTAAAGAGCTCAGGATTGGGCCTTTTTCAGAAAGGGTTGATTGTGCAATCCTCAGTTACATTGGTAAACTTTTAATTATGAGAGTAGACTTCAGTAGGAATACTGAGGGGAGTATTAATGCACCCCAATGCATGGAAGAGTTATACAATTTAGCCCTTAAATGGACAGAATTCCTCAGGGTTGTACATTTAGAGAGATTTATTGGAAGAGATCGTTCTTATTACTCGAATAAATAATCTTGAGACTCCATGCAGTTCTAAACACAACCTTCTCAAAGTCAAAACTCATGTATTATGTTATACCCCAGCTTTTATAAAAATAACAAGAAATATGGTGTGTCTCAGTAATTCCCATGGTAGGTACCAGTTCAGTAACCACATTTGAATTTAATGTCAGTGTGTGCACGCATTATAATGTGAGGAGCAGGAAAGATTTCCTCATCCCATCCACATAATGCATTAGAATGTCAAACTTGACAGCTGGAGCAATGGCTCTGTAAAGTTACTGGTAAGTAGAAAGATGCTACTGTACTTTGAAGATTAAAGTTAGTAACACTTTGCCTGAAAACAAGAGAAGACAATATTCACAGCTCTCTGAAATGATCTGACTTTAGAAGTAGAGGTATTATCCCTTCAACCTTAGGAAAGAAGTTTGGTGGGCCCTAAATTTGTTTGTGGGTTACATTTTCAAACTAGCTACCTCTGCTGTGTCCCCAAAATATCTACACTCAAAAGCAAATAGGCAAGGATGTGTGCAAAAATGCTTTTGTACATGTAAAATAGGTAAATGTAAATGAAAACTAGTCCTTGTGTGCATAGTCAACAAATGTAAGGATACAGATGCATACTTGTCTACGAATGAACAATTGTATAGGCACATTATACACCTGTAGTTGTTGAAAATTGTTCCCAAAACATTAAGGATCCCCTAAGTCCAATGAGTTGTTAATTTGTCATGAGTTAACAATTTGTTCTAAAGACATTCAGTGTCATATATATACTCTCACCAAAATAGGGAATATCGGCATTAAAAACGTGTACCTCTTTTGTTAATGTCATGAACTCTGCCCTTTTTATTGAAGAAACCAACAGAGGCGGAGCAGAATGTTGTGTGAGAGCAATGCAGAGATGGTAATTTGAAGAGAAGTATGAAGTAGATGTAAATGGCCAGAATGAGTGAGAACAAAGAAATGCAGGCTCAGATTTTTCCACCCTTGAAAACACTCATCTACTTCTGACAGGCCTGGGCAAAAATATCCTCCACAGGCTGGATCCCGTCTGCCAAGCCCTGCCAGATCCAACCCACCGACTCCCTGCCTCCCTCCCTGCCCCTCCTTCCCCCCCAGGGGCCGGGGAAGGAGAAATGTGGCCACTGCTAGGCCAGTCAGAGTTTCCTGTTGTCAACAGGAAGCCTGAGAAGCAGACTTCCCCCCGCCCCAGCCTCCCTTCCCACCATCCCCTCAATCTCTTAGCTGTTTGAAAAACACATGGCCCCTGCAGCCAGAGTGGGGATGGGACAGGCAGGGAGTCTGCTTGGGAAGGCTGCTGGCTGGGAGTCAAGCAAGTAAGTCTCCCAACCAGAGCCTGCCTCTAGCACCCCAACTGTTTGCCCCCCTACCCCACATAACCCACACCCTCTATCCCATATACCCTCCCAGATCCTGCACTCCAATCCTCTGCCCCAGATCACAGCCCAAACCCTTTGCCTTCTACACCCATATCCCCTTCCAGATCCTGCACCACAAATCACAACCCAAACCCCTACACCCTAGTCCCCAGCCCAAGTCACAACCCCCTCCTGTCTTTGGCCACAGACCAACACTCCCTCCCACCCCCAGCACCCTAGTCCCCTTCCCCAGGACACAACCCAAACCCCTGCATCTTAGTCCCCTATCCCAGGTCACAACTGCCTCCTTCACCAAATTTCCTCCCAGACCCCACATCCTCTCCTGTACCCTAATCCCTTATTGTAAGCTCCCTCTGCACCCAACCTCCATCCAAAGCCCCGCACCCCTTCCATTAATATGGACAAGTACAGCCCTTGACCACTTTCCAAATTGTTGGAGTGGGGTCCCATCAAAAATTATTGCCTACCCCTCACTTATGAGGAAGAGTAGCTTTGCCTTCCAGTAGTTCCACTTCATGGGGCTACCCAAGATATGAAGAATAATCCTGCAGCTTGTCAGTGAGTTAGATTTGATGACCCTTGCGGTCCCTTCTAGCTCTATATTCCTAAGCTTCAGAGGTACCATTCAATGTTAAAAGGGTGGCAGAATCTGATCCTCAGTGATGAAGTAGGATATTTTGAGTGAACAAGAGCATCCCAATGCTATGCAATGATTCTTTGCATGTAGATATCTGTGCCAGTGAGACACAAAATCTCCCAGCAAGAAATTACACCAAGAGAAATAGCGACGAGGAGTCCTGTGGCACCTTATAGACTAACTGAAGTGTAGGAGCATAAGCTTTCGTGGGCAAAGACCCACTTCGTCAGATGCATGTAGACTACCCACGAGGTCTTTGCCCACGAAAGCTTATGCTCCTACACTTCAGTTAGTCTATAAGGTGCCACAGGACTCCTCGTCGCTTTTGCAGATTCAGACTAACACGGCTACCCCTCTGATACTTGACACCAAGAGAAATGTCAACAATAACAAAAAATGCCACTTACAATAGTGAGATAACACACAGTGATGGATCAATAGCTGATACTAACTAGCAAGACAAAATGGCTAATGAAAATTTTTGCTAGCTGTTAACAGGAGTGGAGCAGGTGTCAAATTCAATCACAGGATCAGATAAGAATGTTTTTAAAAAAAGCAATTTTGAAGAGAAGCTGATCTACAGCCAACTTTGCATGTACATTTTTCAATGCAATCAGGTGTAGAACTCAAATTTAAGATTGTAAATTTGCATATGCAGGAAGTCTGGTTTAGGAAAAAGATTAGATATACTTACCCTGGATGGACTAGGATGTCCTCCATTCCCCCAGGACCCTGAGCTAGTTCTGTCTTCTACATCTAGGGACAAAAAAGTTCTTTAGGCTTTATTGCAATAACTCTTTCCTTTTGTGTAAGCACTTTTAAATTAATGTTTCAAATTAATCTCCTGTTGCCTTTAATTAAGAATCAGGCACGGGGCTACTACGATGATAGTGGCTTCTGACCCAACCACTTAAATTAACTCATTTAAATTCACAGCAGAAATGAACTGGACCCTCAGGAACCAGAGGTTTGAACATAAAAATTACTTCAGTGACTCAGTGTTTCATGAGACTTAAAAAATGGACTCCAAGTTGCACCAAAGTCCTTGACACAAAATACATATAATCAAACACAAGATGTGATAAAACAGAGAATCCCCAGAAGCCAATGTAAAATATTTTGAAGGTCAGCATTCAAACACAAATTCTCATACAGGCCCCAAATCAGGAAAGAATGTACTTAAGTCCCAGGGAAGTCAGGGGGAGTTATGCACATGTTCAATCACCTTCTTGAATAGAGATGAATGTAAGCACATACTTAAGCATTTTTCTGAATTTCCTAAGTGCCTCACACAATGCCTATTTAAATCATGGGAATCTTTCCATTACCTTTGGATGCCCACAGTCTTGTGCTCATCCATTCACACTCATTAATGCCGCCTACATTTGAGGCAGTTGCAGCTTACAATCAGAAGGATTTGGCAAATTTGCAAAGAGATAGTGCAGAGTTTAGAGCACTGGCTGGGGAAATCAGGACTTCTGCCTTCTCTCCTGAACTCTGGTGCTGAACAGATGTATGACTGAGGTCAGGCCTAAACTTCAAACTTCAATTAGCACAGCAGAGATGTTCAGCAATATGGAAAATCCACATCCTTGTTTCCCACAGGTATACTGGTCTAACCACTGGTGTGAATACTGCCAGTCTGACAGAAGAATGTCCATAGGGGAGTGATTTTCCAAAAGCAATGGGAAAACCGCTTGCATTGTTATAAGTTACATCTATACTATCGAGGAGTTATGCCAGCATACCTTCAGGACCATAGCTTACCACAACAACCCCTGTAGTGTATGCATGGCCATAGAGTGAATCACTTTCTCTGGCCTATTTTATCCATTTGTAAACTGGATAGCATAATACTTACCTCACAAAGATGCTGTGAGGTGCAATAAATTACTCTTATAAAGTGCTTCAAGATCCTTGGACAAAAGATGCTATATAATTGGTAAGTGTTACAGAATGCAACTATAAATATCCTTGACAAAACTAAGGAGTATTATTAGAAACCTTATTTCAAAAGTGGAATGCTGTTTATAACATGTATCTATTACTGTTTCTCTTGATGCTATTGTAACCGGTATCATTTATTTTATTCTTTCTCTTTCAGGCTCTCTTAGGGAAAGGAAGACTTGTTTTTAATTAGGAGTTTGTATTACTGTTTAAATTGTCATGCCTGTTATAATGAGCTTTTATATTGTTTTAGATGGGACGTTTCAGAAAGAGTAGCAGACTAGCTGCTCAAAAGACACCACAATTGCAAATCGATGTCCCTCCTGGATACTCAAAAGAGAGTGGAAATGTGTACCTTTGGGTAGGTCATGTTAGTTCTGATGTTGTATCAGGGGGTGGGGGAGAAGAGGATACAATCCCCAAACTTTACTGGTTAAGACTGAATGAATTATATGTTTTGTGGTGTAGTTAATGATGCTGGGGAAAGCTAATATGACCACCAACCCTCATGGAATCCTCAGTACACTGCTTTGGGAACCTCATTAGGCTATCCCAGTTAATAAAACACTTAATGACTAAATAAGGTGTCAATCCAGCAAAGCACTTAAGGACAGTCTTAAATTTAAGCATGTGAGTAGTTCCATTTAAGTAACGTTAATTCATGTTAAGTCGTTCATTCAAGTCAGTGGGAATACACATACAGTTAAAATTAAGCACATGCCTAACAACTTTGATCAACTGGAGTCCAAAATGCAAATTTCATTTAGTCTTTTTTCATGTTGTGTTATATTCCAGTAAATCTGGTTTTTATGTTAATATTATATTTAATAGACCAAGCTCTTGGTATCAATTATATTGAATGACAACGAATTCCACATGTTATACTGAGAGAAAAGTATTTATTTTTACTACTGTTATATTTGTTATATTTTCATTTCTTTAAATGTCACTTGTACTCATATAACAAAAGTGAGTAGAAGTGCCCAATTTGCCCTCTCTTTGCCATTCATATTTTGTATACTTCTATCCCATCTCTCTTTTCCACATCCTATCCAAAACAACCTTGTAATTTGAAACCTGTTTTTACATTGAAATCTTCCTGTTTCTGTAATCATTCATATCACCATCTCTGAATTCAACAATATTCTCACTATATTTTTGAGTTACAGTGACCATCAATAAAAACAGCTTTTGTCTAATTACACAAAGACATAGGTGGTCTAGATTGCTACAGGAATTTTAATCACAGCATTGCAATTAAATATATGTGTATATACAGAAAAGCCGTGTTATCTGGTCCTGTACCAACAGAAAAGCTCTATAAACCAGTATTTTTTATCTTCACTGAAAGTCCAGTTTATAGTCTGATTGTAGTGGGGCTGGCAGGTTCCTACCTGGTTCCACGTGGTTCCCTAGAAGTGGTGACATGTACCTGCTTCTCCTGGATGAAGGAACAGCCATGGGAGCTCCGTGCATTTCCTCCCACCCTGAGCACTGCATCCTCAGCTTCCATTGCCCAGGAAACCCATCCTGCATTCTGAACCCCTCGGCCCTAGCCTGGAGTCCCCTTCTACACCTCAAACCCCTCACCCTTGGTACCATGCCAGAGCCCACACCCCCAGCCCAGATTTTCTTCCCATACCCTGAACCCCCTCATTTCTGGCCCCACACCGGAGCCCTCACCCCCAACCCAAAACCCATACCTTTCTTATCTCCCTTCCTCCTTGCCTCATCTAAGAGCTCCTTCCCAGACTTCAAACTCTTAGTTACCCAGAGTATTTGACTAACCGGCACCCACCATTCTCCCAACATTCCGGATATCAAAGCTTTTATTGTATGATATATTCTGATACAAATAACTGGGTATCTAGCAGTACACTTGCACTTCTAACTTATGTAGATTAAGTGATTGATGATCAAAGCTGTAAACTAGGAAATTAATAGTCATACTATCCATATTTAAATGTTTTTAAACAACATAGTTAAGATTTTTGCGCTTGATTTTATTTTTTCTATATAATCATTGCTATTATCTCAATAAAAGTGTAAAGTGTTAATGACAAAAGACATTCACAGGTAAATATTTAATTAAGCTCTAGACAAAGAAAAAAATGTGTATCATTTGCCTGACAGATCAGATCAACCATGCCATTCAGTTAATTAAGCAGAATTTTTTTAAATAATTTGTGTTATGTAACTGATAATGAATGCTTTCAGACCCTATTTCAAAACCAAGTGAAGTCAAAAGAGATGCTCCTACAATGAACTTAGTATAAGGCATTGGATCACTATGCAAAGATGCTTACAAAATCCGTATTAAATCCCTTAGACAAACTAACAGTGCATGTAATGCGCATCTTTGTCCACGTGAATCTCTCTTTCTTATCCTGTCTCGTTTATATTTATGATGTTTCTTTTTTCTCTCTCCAAAATACCAAATATGATTACATGAGAATATAAACTAATCACCTGCCAGGTGTCCCAAATATCAGCCTTCAAATAAATGTTTATGGCTGACTTACAAACCTACAAAAATGGAGTTTATAATATGAATGCTGTCACAGTGCTAACAAAACTGCTGCAAACGTCACCAGCAAACTAAGAAAAATATTACCAAAACTGTCTTCTAGCTCCTAGAACTTATTCTGAAAAATAATGCAGACTTGTATATTTTAAAAGTCCAAAATAGTTTTTGGGTTAAACTGAAAGTGAAACAAAACCTGCTACTTTGGATAGTGTTGTTTACATTCATTCCATAATGGTTACAATAACAATGCTTTACACTTAAGCAGCACATTTCCAGCCCAGCACCATAGGAAGCGTGAAGGCTGGTTTTGCAAACTTGACTAACTACTCACATGAGTAATCCCATTAACATTATGGCCTGCTGTATCATCCGTACATGGCTGACGCTCAAATCTACAAAGCCATTTGCTTATTCCAGACAATGTAGTCTCTTTTCTCCATCAGTGTCTGACAGAAGTGGAGGAGCAAATTAATTTAGTCTCAATTCTGTTATGATGGAACATGCTGTATCTGCATCTGTAGCCACAAAAATGAACCACGGATATGCTCACTGACATCTGCGGATTCAGATACCCAAGAATATAAAGCAGATATCCCCGGATTTGCAGGGTTCTACTATAGGGAGAAACCATCCAAAGGACTGGCCCAGAGCTGTGAGTGAGCTCCTAATGAATGTATATAGCCACCTCTGTTCAATTTAATTTAGTTTACAGTCTTCAGCTGTATTGTGCCCATAACTACTCTTGAATTCCCAAATGACAACAATGGCATGTAATGCTTTTTTTCTTTCTTTCCATCTACAGCTTAGCTCAGAAACTGTGACCATTCCTTCCTGCTGTAGTGCTCATGATAGTAATCCATGCTTGTGTAACCTCAAGCAGAGATTACTGCAATGTGTTCCACTTGAGGCTGCACTTGAAAAGCACCTAGAAGCTTGAGCCACTGCAGAATACAGAGGCTTGTCTAATACTGGACTGACCTCTTACCAGCACATAACACCAGTGCTCCAGTCTCCGATGTGGCTAGTGGCCTGCCAGAAAAAAACTTTGAAGTACTTGTAGGGGCAGTGCAAACTGCAGCATCTCGCTCATGCTTTTAAAAGGTGCCATCCACCTGAACATTACATATGTGACTGAAAGTTTTGTATCCACTTTAGATCCTGATTCCAGCAATTTGTTCCATGAAAGTAAGCTCTTGTGAACACACAGAATTTGCAGAAATTCTCTGTGCTCTGCACAGATGCAAAGGTCCAGAAATGCAATGTCAGAAACACAGTTCACCTG